GACCAAAAAATGAACTTTCGAAATCTAGTCCTCACTGAAATTCCTGAACAGCATGACAATGCCTCTTGGAGGGCCAAACAAAAACGCAAACTTAGGTATGCAATCTGTCTACATCGGGTGCCACTGAAAACACAGTGGAATGTACATTTCTGCTGATCTGACCATGATTTGCCGAGCGTGCGCAGCTGGAGGACTTATCCAAAACCAGGAGCAAATCGCGTAAAAGTAGAAATTAAGTAAACATGAGACAACTTAAATGCTAAAAGAACACAAAGGAAGAAAACACTTGGATTACTTACGGGAGAGTCCCCATCACGTATCCTCCAGCCAAATTCCTGCCAATCATCCAAATTTTCGACTGAAATGCTGTCATTGGGGTTAGTCGCGGGATTCGAGTCGGCCATCTTCTGCTCCTCTTTTGGCTGAGATATGCGCAGCAGATCCGGACCAAGATATCGGAGTCAGTTGATAATAGAAAACGCAATGAATTTGTGTGGAGCATCTTACCGATTTGAACACTTGAAACACATGCATAAATGAAGGGCGTGTTATTGTTGCGCAGCTGTTCTCACCACCCAGCCCCTCTTTGGAGAACTGTCAACAATGCATATTCACCTATTCCACTCATGCACAACAGGTCGGAAATTGCGAACGCAACACAACTGAGCTATCCGAGCTGAATCTCCGTAATTCACTGAACACCCTTACAATACATTCAAATAGGATAGTCCCCGACGTCGAGTGTTTGGTACCGATATGATCGTATTTCAAAACGTATTCAGATAGGTGAATGAGCTATTTTTCGTGAACAGTCAGTCATTCGGGGAAGTGTTTAACAGTGTTCGATCCGGTCTGGGATAAGTTTTATCTCACAATGGGAAAGAGCCAGTTTTAGTAGAAATACGGATTCTGCTACGCTATTTTCCAAGTCCTACACGGATCATTTCATAATGACATAAACTATCTTCGGATTGAGAAAGCGACGCAAATTCTGCTTCCATGAGGTGACGCTTACCGAAAACACAACGGAGGCTTTCAAGACAGTACTAACGCGACATTCCATCCACACTGCATTTAAAACTGACTATATATATATATATATATATA